CTCTTGCTCTTCTGTTTTGTTTCCTTCACTGATTGGAATATTTGTCATTTCTGGTGGTGTTGTTGTTTCTTGATTCTTCTCTTCTTCCATTCTCATATTTTCATTGATACACTCCACAATGTTGTTACGAATCTTCTGTGCCATTTGTGTAATTCTTTTAATTGCTTTATTGCTTACATATTTCTTGATGTTCTCATTCATTAAAACATCCATGATGTCTTTCAATAACTCAACTGCACTACTTTCTTGTTCTTCATAGATTTTCTTAATGTCTGTCTCACCAACATTGACTTTTTCTTTGAATGTGCATTCAATGAATGTCTTCATGTTTTCATCATTTGGGTTATCAAGAACCTCACTAATAGCTTCTTTACTTGGAATGATAATTTCCTCGTTTTGATGACTCTGATGAATACTTTCAACAACCTTGACTATTCTGTTCAATCTAACAACTTTCTCATGTGTCAATTCTCCTCGATATTTTCGTAATAATTCCACTGTGAGTTCTACTCTGTTTATCATCTCTTCTCTATGGTGTTTTGTGCTTTTAGTTCTTCTTTTATTTCAATTTAACTCTTGCCACGTGTTTACACGCAATATACATTTATAGATTCTCTTCATACCAAGTTTGTTTCTAATTCATGTTATTACAATGGTTTGTGTGTCTATTTTTGAGTTAAATGCAACGTGGATCCTTCAATAACATGACAGTTTGCTGTATGTGCGATTCTTGTCATTGGGATATTACTATAATTGTCTGGTGTGTGATAGATAAAGATGTCAATAGGGATTCTTTCATTTTGTGGTGAATTAGCTATGTTTGGAGTGTTTATGAACATTCATTTCACTTCATTGTTCAAATCTTCTTTAGATTCATTAAACACATGAATGTCTCTTCTTGTGTTTTTGTCTTGAGGATTAATCACAATTAACAAAACAACAGTTAAAATCAAACAAACCCACACAAACAAAGAAATCAAAGTGTTGTAATTTGATTGTCATAACTATCTGACCATTGAAAGACACTTGTATAATAAAAGAAACCTTCAACAAATAAGAGAGATTAACAATAACAAAAGAACCAATAATTGTTAATTGTATTTCATGATAGAGGATGAGTCATAATAAGAAATAGGGAATGAGTTAATAAAGAATCTGTCATCAATACAGAATAAACATGAACATTGTTAATGTGTTTGTCACTGTTTTGTTTGATGTAAGAATAAATATTCATACAAAATGAATGTGTTATAATGAATAACAAAGTTTACAAAGTGATGAAATAAATCTCATTCACACAATCGATAATTAAATACTCAACCATTAT